TTATTACTCCTTTTTGTAGTTGCGGATGCTTGCAATAGGGGTTAATCATAAGTGGGATGCTTGTCCAAGTTAGGGCAGTACCCAAGTGCCGGTCCACCCACATATCAAATTATCAAAGTACTGAACGCGAATCATATGAACGTGATGAAAACTAGCTTGACGATAATTCCCAATGTGTCCTCGGGAGCTCTTTCCTCATTATTAGAATTTGTCCAGGCTTATCCTTTGCTACATAAAGGATTGGGCCACCTTGTTGCACTTTATTTACTTTATTTACTTTTTGCTCGTTACTATTTGTCCTATCACAAAATTATCTATCACCTACTATTTCAGTGCTTCCAGAGAAAACATTACTGAAAACTGCTTATCATTTCCTTCTGCTCCTCGTTGGGTTCGACACTCTTACTTATTGAAAGGACTACGATAGATGCCCTACACTTGTGGGTCATCAAGGGGCGAGAGCGCAACGGCGGCAGCAGCAGCAACACCACGGCGAGAGGCAGCCACGGTGGAGAGTGTGGGAGGAAGAAGAAGTGGGAGGGGGCGCGTGAGCCTTGCCACACCCCTCCCTCCCCCTACTTATAGCCCCTGGGCTATGAAGCCGAGGGGACAGAGCGTGGGACGTGGGATTAACTACGCCCACGCCCCCACGTCCCCACGATCTCCACGCATAATTACTGCGCAGTAAATAACCGCGGGAACCGCAACCGCCCGCCTCGGTGTAGCGGATCAGCCCGCGCGTCGAGGCCTGGTAGTGGCGGGCCCGACCCACTGTCATGTCCCATCAGGAGCGTGGGATGGCAGGCTGGACGGGCTGGCGGGCGCCGTGTGGCGCCCCTAAGGCGTGCGGTGGCCGGAGGAAGCTTAACAGGCACGCCACCTACCTTCCCGCCGAGAAGTTCGAAATTGGCCGACGACCCCGCCTTGTGGAGGCCGGCTTCAGAGGGCCGGCACGCCGCAGGGCGGACTAAGATATCGGTGCGCCGCAAGACGGACCGTAACACTCTCTGGAACTCGGAAAGGGGGGAAAGTCGCTGAGTCTTCACGGCCCCTCGACCGCGACGCCTCGCCAGCTTCGGGGACTACTGTCGGAGTAATGGGCCATGGGTAGCCTCACCCAGGTCTCAGGACTTATCAAGACTTTGGGCCAACTCCGCCTAGTTGGGCCCTAAGCAGAAGCTCCGACCTCTGGGGGGCGGCTGGCCTTACGGCCGGCTACCAGAGGGCGGCCGAACCCAACCAACAACGCTGCGGGTGGCCGGCTCCTGCCCACTGGCCTCTGGAGAGGGCGGCATCAAGCAGGCGGCCACCTCGTGGCGTCAGTACAACCGAACCCCCCTCGATCGTACAAGTTAGGGCATGGCTGCAGTGAAGCACGTCGCCCCTGGCGCCCGGGAGGCGTGGCTACAGTGCTCCGTACAGGCGGAGATCTCCGCATGACGGGGTACTGTGCCATGTCTCCCCTAAGGTTGCTCTGAGCAGGCGGAGTCCTGTTCCCCACGACGGCTTGTCGGTACAGCCTGCCGGCGGCGGGCCCTATCAGGCAGAGACTCCATAGAAGACGGCGGAATCCCAACCAATTGGACTCGGGCAGGGCCGGCCTTCAGCAGGCGGCCGTCCCTCGCCCCGAGGCAAACATGCCATTAAGCTGATGAGACCAGGTGTGGCTACAGTGATCTCTCACCAGGCGGCGAGACTGTAGCCACGCTGAAGATGACCAAGCCCCCGTCACCAATGGCACGGCTAAAGTGAGCAGCCACCCACCAGTCGCCGGAGGCCGGAGACGCTGACAGCCGGGCCTAGCACCCGGACAGATTACCATTATACCCCTGGGGGGTAGGCCTATATAAACCCCCTGGGCACCCATGCAAAGGGTTCCAACTCTGATAGAACTAGCCAGTTACCTAGGGCAGGGAAGAGCTAGCCTTGCCTTCTCCTACCTCTAGACACAGCTCAAGGAGCAACTTGTAGCACTAGTGCCTTAGTGATCATGCGGAGACCCCGCAGAGCAGGAGTAGGGGTATTATCTCCACGGAGAGCCCCCAACCTGGGTAAAGTTCGCCGGCATACGTGTCTACGCCTTATCCCGCTTCCAGGCACCGACGAAGTTCTACTCGCTCCCACCATGATAAGCCATCCGTTGGCATATGTCACACCCAACCCCCGACACATGTAGTAACTGTGGGCTAGAAGGACACAAGTATACAAGTTGCCAGAAGGCTCTGAGGCCTAAGCTTCAGATGAGGAAAAACAAACATCAGGTAATTACATGACTTACAAGTTCCCTTTTTTCATGGTATTTACCTCACTAAATGTGTCCTGGTTCTTGAATGCAGGAAAATAGGGCAGTTTATGCAGATACACCAGCTCCATCAGCTCAAGGGCATGCTACAACTGGAAGAAGAGCCAATCCTACTATATCAGTCCCTGCTGCAACAGCAAATAGAGCATCACATTCTGCTCCAGGCCCTTCTGCATCAGCACCAGTCCCTATTGGTACATCCAGAAGGGGCAGGCCTGCAAGTAGAGGGAGAAATACTAGTCTCAGTGCACCAAGATCTGCCACAACTTCTGCCCAAGGTTTCGCAGGGACCAAAAGGAAGAGGTATCCAAGATCCAAATTGAAGGGCTACTTCTATGCAAGTGGTAATTAATGGTAAGTCTGAACTTTTCTGAACTTAGTTTCTGAACTTGTCTGAACTTAGTTTCTACACTTAGTTTCTGCACTTGTCTGAACTTGTCTAAAACTTATGGGCCTGCTGCCCTGTTATGCTTTATTAATTTGGGCCTGGTACTGGGCTTGGTTATTGGATCTCTCTGTGCCCCCCTCCCAAGCCTGCCATTCTGTCTACAAAAGACGGAGTGATCGCCGCCCTCCCAAAACCTAGCCGCCGCAGAAGCATGCGGACCCTAGTTCAGCCAGAGATGGATCCAACATTAGGAGAGGTAGTGGATGACCATGAGGAGCTTGATAGGGATGTTGTGAGGGCCAATCGCAGAGCCAATCATAGAGCACACACGCTGGAGCGACGACGGAGGCTGGCTGCCAGGATTATGGCAGAACCAATGCCAACGATGTCAAGCAGTTTAATGAGGCGTTCCCAGAAGGAACACACATCACAGATGACCTTGTCATCTGGTGGTCAAGAGACAGGGCAAGCTTCCATCGATTCCAAGTAACAAGGACTCGGTGGACTAGGATGTTGGCTGTGTTCGAAGGAAGAGAGGATTAGTTCTCTGCATGTTCTCTGCATGTTCGGTTTTTTCTGTTTATGTATGTCTCTGAACTTATTTCATCCTTTATACTGCATTTGCTTGCACTTATTGCTGTTACTTCTGAATGTTCAGAGTGGCGTCATCTTCGTCGTATGCAAAGTGAGAGAGCATGCAACAATGGAGATGGAACAGCAACAATGGAGATGGAGCAGCAACTCAAGTGTGCTTGCTACTGTACTAGCACTATGTTTGCTTAAATCAGCTCGAACTATCTATGTTTTATGCATTTTAATGCGTGGTACTGAATGTTTCATCTCTGAACTTGTCTGAATCTGGTTAAGGATTATGCTATCTAAGCCTTGCTGAGTGTTTTTAAATGTGGTTTAAGTTTATGAATCAGGTTTACGTTTGAATGTCTGTAAAAACTTGACCAACCTAACTTCCACTTTCCCGATGAAAAATGGCATCAAATTGTCACAAGTTTCAACACACTGAAACTGCGAACATTAACTACATCACATCTACCACCTGTACAGACTAGTAAAATCTCACCACTCCTCACTATTACTACTACACTGCCACACAACACCTCCCCCCACTTAACTCCTCCACATTACTACTACTCCAACACCTATCCACCTCACTTCTGCCGCACCCACAACTCCTCCTCCTCTCCGGCTGGTTCTTCCTCTTCCCCTTCCCCAGACCCATGGCTAAACCCATTCCCAACTGGCAAGGGATGGGTTGCCATGTTTCTTGGTTCAGCACGTGTCGACCAAGAACTCTTCCTCGACTACATGAAGGTCGCCATGAGGTACACCAGCGCTATTGGGCTGGTAGATGCAGCAGAGGAAGTGAGGAAGAAGGCGACTAGCAAGGAGAAGCAGCGCATGGCCCAGCGCTATGGAAACCCAGGTAAGGTGGTCATGCCCATCAACATTCTCCTACGGGCAATGAAGGAGGCCGACTCCGGTGATGCTGGGCAGAGGCAGCGGTGGGCAGACCACCGCTATGTCGCTCGAGCACAAACTACATCAAATGCAAACGTAGTAGAGGTGCACGAAGACGACGACGACCTACAGATCATCGCACCGCCAGCTGTGCAGGCTCGCCGCCGTCCTCCTCCCATCATCGTCATCGATGAAGACGAAGAGGAAGAGGATGTGGAGGTGCAGCCAAATCCCACCCAACTGAAGCAAGAGGTATGAAGATCTGGACGCTTAGCTGGACATACAACTAAGTGAATCTGAAACTTTCAGATTCAGTTTCGTCAGTAGTTGAACTACCTATGTCAGTTTCGTCAATTGAACTACCTATGTCAGTTTCGTCAGTGTCAGTAATCTTCAGTGTTAGCAAGTATTGCGCTATCTATGTAATGCTACCTATGGTGCGTCCTATGTGAACTACCTACCCTTGTTCAGTGTTACCAAGTTTGTGCAATTTGTGAAATGTTACAACTAACTTCTCAGGACCATATTGCGGGTAGGGGATGCAACCACTTAGGATAAAAAAGACAGATATAAACTTCAGCAGGCTTAGATAATAAGGTTCTTAACTTAGCATCAGGGCATTAAACATAACATCGTCTTAGAGCATTACAGATCAGGGCCATAACAGCACCCCACACCACAACCAAAATGATCTGAAACCATAGACAGTTCTTAGGCTTAGGCAGTTCATAGCTAATATTAGTACTGAGATGCATATTTGCATCAGACTCCTTCATTGCTAGGCCAGTTATATATATAGGCCTCATATTTACTTACCAACCATGGCTAAAAACATCACTCCTCCATGACAACTTCTTTGATCTTGTCCAGCTTTTCCTTGCACCCATGACCAGCCTTCAGTAGCTCAGAAATGACATGCTCCAGCTTCTTCTTCTCTTCTTTAAGGAGGTCCCTCTCCACTTGTATCTCCTTCATGGCCTTCCTGGTGTTTTTAATGATATCAGCTTGACTCTGCAGGATGCACCTCTGTTCTTTCTTCAGCTTAAGCTTCTCCATTTGAACCTCAATCTTTGCCTGCTCCTCAAGCCGATGCTTCTTCTCCTTAAGTTCATTAATTGCCTGACTTGTAAGATCCATGTCATGGGATCTCTGCCCATCCTGGTAATCAAACAACTTGGATACATCATCCACAAGCTGACTGTACTGATTGCCAAGAGAATCCAGCTCCTTCTTCAGTTTCTCAACCCCTATCTCATGAGCATCTTTGTCTTGGACTCTACCAAGGTTCTCCTCATGATACATATCCCACAGCTTGGTTAAACACCTTTGCAGAATGACTGGCCAAGGGGCATCTACCCACTCCAGAATACCACAGTTCACACCATCCTGAAAATGCAGTGAAATTGAGTTAAAGAATTCATACATACATATCAATGTTTGCCTGAATGCAGTAACAAACAAATTCAGTTAGACCAATTTTAGGTGCTGCCTAGATTGAAAGAACACCACACCAGCTCTGTACTTCAGTTTTCAGTTAACAGATACTGAAACAACAAGAATATCAATGGTGTTTGCACTATGTACCACCAAATGAAGCTACACATGAACACTACTATTGTTTACTCTTACCGTAGTAGCACATCCAATGAATCTCCTTCCAGTGTCAGTCCCTTCAAATGCCACAAACCTGCCTGGTCTCTGCCTGTGCAGGATGCACTTACGATCAGATTCAACCACAAGCCCACAGAAACTTGGATCTATCACCGTGTCAGGAGTTTGCTGCAGTACCAACCCCATATATATCAGCCACAACACCTCACACATAAGAACTACATGGAAGAAATCAGAGCAATAGGATCTTCAAACCCTAAACCCTAACCCTAACCCTAGCATAGAAGAGAACAAAGTGAGCTGACTTACAAAATACTCCATCTGCATGTTGCTGCTGCTGTACTCGTTCATGTACTCGTCATCATCGGCGTCGGATGTCTCGTTGTTGTTCTGCCAGGAAGGCATCCTCGCGCCGCCGTGTCACAGTCGCCGGAGGTGAGAAATAGAGGAAGAAGAGAGCTCGGGGAGAGGAGTGAGAGTAAGTGAGTGTCGGTCGGTCGGCCAGTCAGTCATTTTGACCTGGCCCCTGGCTGGTTCCGACCGAGCCGGGCCACTAACGGCCGTTAGGGCCGCCGTCGGCCTGCCATGTGGGCCATCCTTGTTAGTTAAGCGGTTAGAACGGCTAAATCGACGATCAACACGACTTGGTAGTTTTTTGTCACAAAATTTGAAATTTTCGGTAGTTATTAGTCGCTTTTTTGAAAGTGGTAGTTCTGTGGGACGGTTACCCCTAATGTGGTAGTTTTTTGTCAAATACTATGTTGAAGGCCAAGACAGCGCGGCGCTTCTAGTAAATCTGAAAGCTATTCGCATCAGACGGTTCAAAGACGTGGAGAGTTCCTCTTTCTTCATGTTGAAACAAAAAATGTTATCTTGAAAATTATGTTGGCCTATATGAAAACAATAAAACATAGATTTGGACAGGGCCTGGGATTGAACACACTTCCGGACCTACCGTGCACAACTCCAGCTAGTTAGCGCAAATCTTCTACCCCTCTGTTCATTTTTATAAGGCCTTGAAAACATTTGAGACAGGGTGAAAAATAGCTCATTTTCAGTTGTCTGAATTGACTTATAAAATTGAACAGAAGGAGTAGTGTTTTTGAGCAACCCGTAAATCTCTTACCCCTTCGATTCATATTACTTGAGTTGTACTAAAACAACGACAAGTAATATGGACCAGCGAATAGTAGAAAACGAGCAAACAGCCATAGGACCAGCTGGCGAATCTCAAATGCCATCTATGGCTAAATTTTGTGTTTTGACCCTTTTTCGAACTTAATCAGGATCTGACCGGTGCCCGGTGCCTTCTTCGGCGTTAGGCGTGGCTCCCCTTCCTCCAGCCGCATTTTCGGCCTATACTCGACTTCCTCTTCTTCTATTTGTTCTCCGACGGCTTGGGATTGCTCAGAATTTGGCCGGGGAGAAATCCCCGCATTCTATGCTGGCAGTGGCGACACTTGTAGGTGCCGTCACCTTCTTGAAGGTGTTGCCATGGCCGCTATCTGAGCCCCTCTTCGAGCATCAGGGGAAACCCTAGGTCTGGTTTTCCGGATCGGACGACGACGCCATCTCATGTCGTTTCCTTCTTGGAGGCGTTGTCTTGGTTGCTCGCGACGTCCTCGGTGCTGACTTTGGTGATGTTGGCCGTTTAGTTGTTGGTCGGACTGTGTCTCTAGTCGGCGAGTTTTGCTGTGTTTTTCTTTGGGTCGAATGTCTCATGTCTCTCTGTTCCGGACACCATGGTCACGCCTTTTGCGTCCGTGACATGTGTTGTATCATCTCCTATATTCATTCTAACTTCTTCTATCAATGCAATGATACGCAAGTTTTGTATTCCCGAAAAAAAAAAAGATCAGGATCTGACCCTATCTTGCAAAAAATTAGGGATCTGACCCTTCTCTTACCGTCCGGGTCTATGGCGGTAGGGTATAACAGCCTACCGTCAAGGTCCCTGGCGGCAGGGTTGCACACCCTACCAGATTTTTTTCCTAAGTATGAAACACAGTGCATGCTCACATCTATCGGCGGGCACCTTGTCGGTAGGGTTGTACAGGCTACCGCCAGCCTGTTTGGCGGTATGGTTATTTCCTACCGCCAAGGTCCCTGGCGGTAAGCTGTTACACCCTACCACCATAACCCTGACGGTAGCAAAAATGTCAGATCCTGAAATTTTTACAGACTGGGATCAGATCTCGATTAACTTTTAGAAAAGGGTCAAAACATGAAATTTTGCCGACATCTACATCAAGATCGTACGTGCCGGTGTCACTTCACTCTCCGAAAGCTCATATAAATACGTATATTTCTTCAAAGGAGAAAAATAACACATTAAAGTTGCACATAGTGCAGTTGTACCACTGCAGAGAGCAATCGGCATTACACGCAGCCACAGTGAAACGACGGCCATTTTCACCTCAGTGACTCTTGGCGTTCCCCATCGGGTTTCCCTCGAACCGTCCGATCCTGAAGTGACGGAGCTCCACGCCGGCCTCCGCCGCCGTCCCTGACTCGTCGTCCAACGCCATCTCGGCGAGGATCTTCCCGACGGCGGGGCCCATCTTGAACCCGTGACCGGAGAACCCTGCGCCGACCACCACGTCCCTCCCGAACTCCTTCCCGTCCAGGAAGTCAAGCACGAAGTCCTCGTCGGGAGCAGGGGCGGCGCTAGGGGTATTCTTAGGTCTTCATGTGAATACCCATGATTTTTATAAAACAGTATTGATTTTGGCAAAAGAGTGAAAATTTTCGAAAAACAGCAATGATATTGGCAAAATGAATATACATGAATACCCGGTTGCAAATTCCTGGAGCCGCCACTGGTCGGGAGTCATGCAACACATGCACGGCTGGCAGATCACCGGCCCGCCGGTGGTGTCCACGTGGCCCGGCATCACCTCGTCGATCCACCGCGCCACGAGCTCCGCCATCTCCCCCGCGCCGGTGCCGATGGCCCAGTCCCTGCCGTCTGGGTCGCACGGCGGCCCGCCGCTCTTGGAGATCTTGATCAGGCCAGGGTACTCCATCGACGGCGTGCCGTAGAAGCTGGGGTCGCCGTAGCTCCCGAACGTCGGGAATCCGGCCTCCGCAGTCAGCTCGTGCTCGCGCCCGGGCTTGACGTTCCAGTAGCAGACGAGGGTGTGCACCGGCTGCACCGGCAGGTCGGTGCCGGTGACGGACTTCAACAGCTTGCTCGCCCACGCGCCCACCGTGATGATGCACTTGCCGCCGTGGAACTCCTCGCCGCTCGATGTCTTCACCACGATCGTTGTTCCCTCTCCTGGTCGAAAGATATCAGGTTTAGTTACTTTGATGGGTTCACTTCATTTCGTGTACGTACGATCTGCATGTTTACGCAACGATGAGCATGTGCAAGTGACACGGCCTCGCTCGCGTCTGTCACTCACCTTGCTTCCTGGCGACGTCGACCACCTCCGCCCTGTCCCTCACGACGGCGCCCATCTTGCCGGCGAGCGCCTGGAACATGGCCACCGCCTTGGTCGCCTTTATCACACCGCCCAGCTCGCTTCTGGCCGCCGCCCACCCCTGTGGCACCCTGAAAGCTTCCGCCCACGCCGGTGCATCCGCCGACGACGGCACGAGCTCGGTGGCGCTGCCGTTAGTGACGGCGGCTAGGAAGGCCGGATCGTCCCGTGGCCCCAGGTTGAAGTGCGGGGTGGGCGTGAGGACGGCGTACCCGGCGTCGCGCTGGGCGTCGTCCCAGAGGCGGTGCGCGAGGCGGACCATGGGCGGGTACTGCGGCCGCGTGTAGGTGGGGCGGGTGATACGGGACTCGCCGTGCGACGAGCCGCGCTGGTGCAGCAGGTCGAAGCGCTCGAGCAGGAGCACGCTCGCGCCCCGGGCCGCCGCCGCGTGCGCCGCGCAGCTGCCCATTATGCCCGCGCCCACCACGATCACGTCGAACGAGTGGTCGGCCGGCGGCGCAGCCATGGTTGCTGTTCCTGTGTTACTAGCTTACTGCGTGCGTGCTCTGCGCAAGCCTGCTCTGGTAGTGCAGACCGGAGAATGTGCGAGGCGGATGGGTTACAGGGACCAGGAGATGGGCATATTTAAAGACGGCGGATTAACAGGTGAAAACCGAAAATTCTACACGCATGGATCTTTACGGGCCTGCAACGGACCCCTTCCACACACATTTTCATGAGGGTGGGGCCCGCTTCACCTCTTCTTCCCAATCACATCTTTCCACATCAGCACGTCATGTAAACGTCCGTGAAACCTTTCCGTGTGTGTGTAGCAAGGCTCGGTGAAAACAGATAAACCATCGCGTTAGCTATATACCACAGTCCCTCTAACCATCCAACACACACAATCCAAAACCTAAACCTAGTCTTCCGTCGTCGCCTGGGCTTGATCCCGTCTCGCGGCACCGCCCAACCACCTTCGGCACCGGCGAGCCGCCTCCCACCACTTCTGCCCCACCGAGCTGCCTCCCGTCATGCACCCCTCAACATGTCCTTCTGTTAGGACAAAGGGCGCCGCCGCCGGTGACGAACTCCATGGTAGCGTCCCGTCCCAAGTCAGGAGAAAGGGCGTTGCTGCCGATGTCGTTTGCAGCTGCCCGTCGCCCTCATCTATCTACTGCAACCATGCGGAGGTGGTGGAAGTGCAGCTGGCCGTGGCCTTCAAGGAAGAGGAAGCCAAGGGCTTTCCAATCGGATCCCCAAGCCTCCATCCAACTTCAACGTCATGAAATGTCGGTGCTCTCGTTGACCGCTCGCGGGGACGGGTTTTTCATGGGTTTAGAAAACCTGATGGGTTTAGGGGACATGTAAAAATCTAGCCCCGTGCACAGGTATGAGAATGTGACACATTTGTGATTTTCTCACGGAGATTGATTTAGTCAAAGCAAAATCCGATGGGTTTCATCCCTGTTGCCAAGTACAACTTCGCATTAGCTATGGTCGATCAGGTACCTGAAAATAAACTTCGCATGAGTCAAATCCGTTACCGTTCCTTCGTGTTGCTTTGTGATTTCTGCTTGTGGATAGGATTACGTATTTGAGTGACGCTAGCTAGTTGTGTTTTTTCTTGGGGTACGCTCTAGACCTCTAGTTGTTTTCAGTCTACTTTGTAAAAACAACTAGTTGACGAGCGTTCTTTTAGGAGCCTCACAACGATTAGCGTCACTTGGCACGCTCTCAACCGCTGTCACGTGTTGCGCTACATGAGAGGCACAGTTTTGCTTTTCCGAGAGGCACAACCATGCCTCTCGAAAACGAGAAAAAACGTATTTTTTGATTATTTTTTTCTTTCGTGAGAGGCACAGTTTTGATTTCGCGAGAGGCACGACTGGGCCTCTCGAAAACGAAAAAAAATGTGTTTTCTATTTTTTTTTCTTCCGCCAAAGGCACGGTTGTGCTTTTTTGAAAGGCACGACCGTGCCTCTCTGAAACAGTAAAAATATGTGTTTTTTGTTTTTTTTCTTTCGAGAGGCACGGTTGTGCTTTCCCGATAGGCACTGCCGTGCCTCTCAGAAACAGAAAAAAAATGCATTTTCTGTTTTTTTTCTTCGCCGAGAGGCACTGTTTTGCGTCTATGAGAGGCACGATCATGCCTCTTTCGGAAATGAAAAAAAAAACAGTGCCCCCGGTTCGGTTTTTCGTGTGGTTTTTTCTCGACCAGTTTTTTTCGTGAAAAAAGGTTCGTCAAAATCTATCAACATGGGATCTACTTTTGGAGATCTCGATGCGAGGAATCCAACGGTGAAAACGGTTCAAGATTTGGACGCACGGTTTAAGAGATAAAACATTTGAATAAATAGATCTACGAAAAAAGGGAAAAACTCCTAAGTTGCGACAAGTGGCGCACAAGCAGCGCGCCACTTGTCACAACCCGGGGAGGTGGGAGTAACCTTTGCAAGGAGCACTCCTCACTTAGTGATTTCGCTATTTTGCAGTCCAGTTGTTTTTTGTAGTTGGGTCGTTTCAAGGCCTGCTGCTGCGGGTTATTTTTTCTGCAAGTTTGCCCCATACGCAAAAAAGCGTGCATATGCTCAAAAAGCTTAGCTATACCCCTAAAAATGCTCAAAAGCATGCATGCACGTTGATCGCTTAATGCTATATATGGATTATTATTTTTGAATAGAAAAAATTCCATTAACCAATTGGTGCAGCAACGTCGCTAGCAACCAAACTTGAAACAAGATCCGGCAGATGCTCCGTCCAAACGGTGGAAAGGGTAGTTAACTGGTTGAAGGATTGGAAAGAGAAATTGCTATCCCTTGGGGTAAGAAAATTTTATTGAAAACGGTTATCCAGTCTATTCCTGTTTTTGCTATGGGTGTATTTAGAATCCCAAAGAAGGTTTGTAAAGAAATCACTGATGCCATGTCTGCTTTTTGATGGGGTATACAGAGGAGGAAAATAAAATGCACATGTTAGCATGATGAAAGATGTGCATACCGAAAGTTAGGGGAGGCATGGGGTTTAGGGATCTCCATGCTTTTAACTTAGCAATGTTGGCAAAACAGAGTTGGAGATTGATAACACATCCTGAAACTTTATGTCCCAGAGTCTTACGATGTAAATACTTCCCTGACGGTAATCTTCTTAAGGCGAGGCCAAAGAAGGGGTCAGATTATTAATTCTTCTTTAAAAGTAATACCAATTTCACTAATTTATACTTCCCAAGGAAACTTGTCTTTTTATGTTTTTTTAGTATATAGAAGGATGGGGGAAGACGAAGGCAGCTAGGCCTTTAGATCCCGATCCGGCAGTAGAGAGTGATTTGATTTTAGTTGTTTTCCTTTTAGAGTAATGCCAATGCTCTTAATACATTTTATTATAACATATTTTCTTTTCATTTTAGTTTTTGATTTATTTAGTATATTTCTTTGTTCACTAATAAGATAAAGTGGCTGGCATGAAAATTTATTTTCTTTTTCTCGCTTATGATAATGTTTCTAGCTCCTTTTTATTATTGTTTGATTTGGTGATTTCATTTTTGTTTGAATCTCTCTCCTATATTTTTACATCTGGTAGCAGTTTGATGATGCAATCGGTGACACTATATAATTTATGTTAATAACTTAAATGAAAATCATAACTATTATTCAAGTTGCACCAGTTTATATTTGTTCTTACACAATATGGAAGAGTGGAATTTTTGTGTATCATTTTCTTTTAAGTTTTTTCTTCATTTCATTTTTCTTTCAAGTAGTAACAACTCCCTTCGTTCATTCTTCCCAAGAATAACAATTGCATTTATTTTGTTTTTCTTTCTTTTATATATGTTATTCGGTTTTGCTATTGGACAAGCGGACGATTTTTTTAGTTTAGTCATTTTTTTCGTGTTCATGTGTGTTTGTTTCTATTTAAAATTTATTTGTATTGTGTTATTTTATTTTATTTTATGTGCATATGTCGATATTGTGTGTTTTGTAAGTAGACACATAAATATTGTAAAATATGTTTGTAAATTATACTAGAACACAAAAATTGCACTATTTATGTCATTCACGGATATTGCCATTTATGTGTAAATTGTTTAAAACTTTTTGTCATCATTTGTTTTACGTATTTTAATCTTCTTTCTTCTTTAAGGGTAATACAGATGCCACTAATTCATTCTTTCTTAGAAAAATTTATTTTTTTGATTGGTTGAACTATTATATTCTTATTATAAAAAGAAATGTCATCTTTGTGCCAAATGTGTGCAAATATTTTTCATCATATTTTTAGTTTCATTCTCGTTCTTCTTTAAGGGTAACTGTCGGTGTCAAAACCGGCGGATATCGGATAAGGGGTCCCGAACTGTGCGTCTAGGCGGATGGTAACAGGAGACAAGGGACACAATGTTTTTACCCAGGTTCGGGCCCTCTCGGTGGAGGTAAAACCCTACTCCTGCTTGATTAACATTGATGGTATGAATAGTACAAGAGTTGATCTACCACGAGATCAGAGAGGCTAAACCCTAGAAGCTAGCCTATGGTATGATTGTTGTTCGTCCTATGGACTAAAAACTCTCCGGTTTATATAGACACCGGAGAGGGCTAGGGTTACACAGAGTCGGTTACAATTGGAGGAGATCTACATATCGTATCGCCAAGCTTGCCTTCCACGCCAAGGAAAGTCCTATCCGAACACGGGACGAAGTCTTCAATCTTGTATCTTCATAGTCCGGGAGTCCGGTCACAGGTCATAGTCCGGCCATCCGGACACCCCCTAATCCGGGACTCCCTCAGTAGCCCCCGAACCAGGCTTCAATGACGACGAGTCCGGTGCGCAGATTTGTCTTCGGCATTGCAAGGCGGGTTCTTCTCCAAATCCCATGTACCCGTCGAATAGTATCCGGCTTCCAGTGCATGCTGTACTCCTCAACTTCTGTGCCCAATAATGACCATATTCCACGTGTCAAACGAATGCGAAAAGCCAGGGGGTTTTTCATTCTCCCCCTAGCCGCGTGAACGAGCTGCCCATAAAAGAGATGGGGATTTTGATCCAGCCCACACCATCTTCCCTCCGCGAGCCTTCATCAGAGCGTCTTCGACAGGGATCCATTTCACCATGGCCGGTCGGTGCAGCTCCTCCTCTCGCCTCTCCAGCCCTCAGCCCGAAGATTGGGGGTGGTGTTCCATCCCGCATAGCGAGCTAGTAGTGCTTCAGTCCAAGGGGCTCCTCCCCCCAGCATATATGGTCCCGGTTCGAGCCGGGATTGCCACCTAAAGCGACGGAGAGCAGGCGGAGAGCATCCCCAATCCCTCCCGAGGAGAGCGGGTGTGCCTAGTCCCTTACTTAATAAGAGGACTCGGATTTCCGATTCATCCGTTTCTCCGAGGGCTACTGGAGTTCTATGGCCTCCAGCTACACAACCTCACACCTGCCTCCATACTGCACATCGCAGGCTTCGTGGCCCTCTGCAAGCTGTTCTTGGGCGTCGAGGCCCATTTCGCGCTGTGGAAGAAGTTGTTCTGCCTCGTGCCCCGCTCT